TGGTACCCAAACAAAATTAACTATTATTCCAGCCTGTCTTATACATTATACTCAATTTTTCTATGAAGATATCATATCTAACTCTTTGAAATATTTGAAGACTTATAAGTTATTCCATTGAATCTGAACAAATCACAACCATATTTGCCATCACTTCTTAACATCACTGAATTGCCACCATTTCTGCAGTGAATACTGAAGTCCCATTTGTTAACCTCCCATATTTTCCTATTTTAAATTCTGGAACATAAAATGCTGATCAGGGGTGCGTTTCCCAGAACCATAGTTGCTAACCTGTTAGCAACTTAGTTGGTTGGCAATGGGAAATTGCATTGCAACCAACAAAGTTGCTAACTTAGTTAGCAACTATTGTTTTGGGAAACACACCCCAGTACGGCCTATCTCTGGGTTTCTTGAGCTTTCTGAAAGAAATTCATAATAAACTGTTCTAATATATTCTATTTTATAGCTCTAAATATTGTCATATTCTGTCCTTTTTTAATACTATCATGAATTTGTAAATTAACTTCAGGTTGATTGTGGAAATTGTAACCGTTGATGAAAATTATATATTATTTAGTGACATTCCTGCAGCCCATTTCTTTGCTTTCTGCAAACCCTGTTCCTGTTAAGTTTCTTAGCTCCCCTATATTATTGTTGATCTGATTCATGCCCTTGTAAATTGATCGAGTAAGCAACAGATAATTTTTGATGTCTTATGTCTATTGATGACTCTCCAGTTTCAACTTGCATTGCTGAGATTGGAGTTGTTTTAATTGCACCTATCTAACCTCTACAGATTTATTGATTGATGCAGATCCATATTTAATACATCCATAGTCTATAACAGACCGTAGAAGTGCACAGTATTATCTGTCGCCGATTCTTGGCCTACTATACATCACATTAGATTTAGTGCTTTGCTGCATTTCTCTTCAATGTAATTGACACAAATTTTCCATGTTCATTTAGAGTCAAACCATAGACCTTAATATTTAAATTTTGTTAACCTCTCTAGTGGCTGTATATATAAATAAAGTTTAATATTTTCTGCAATCCTCTTTTTTTTGTAAAAAAAAAACTGACAACACATTTTGACTGCACAACTGCACTGTTTATTTATGCACAATATATTGAACATCTCTTCCTCATTGCTCCAGCATCTGCATATAATGCTCTTTTAATTCCTGGATGAATTCCTTCATACATACCATAGCTCATAATGTAAAAGAATGTAGGGTTTATCGGCCTATAGTTTCCTTCTATTGAAAAATCTTTCCCTGGTTTGGGAATGGGAATTACGACAGCTAGTTTCTAGGATAAAGGCAGTTATCCTTCCACCATATCTTATTTAAAAAATATGATATTGCTTTAAGTATTACTTCATCTATTTGTTTAATTATAGTATAGCTAACTATCTTTTCCGGGGCGCAGATGGAGGGTATATGGAAACGTGCGACACTGCTGGCTTCGGCAGTGACTTCGCAAAATTAATTATGTGATCAGTTATTCTGTTACAACTATAAAAGTCCAAAAATGAAGAAGCGTCAAAAGGTTCGGAAATGAGTGTATTTAATAAATCAAAGTCAGATAATCCACAAAGCGTAACAGAGTGCACGTAACACAAAAAATAACCGACCATGCATCAAATACAAACAGCTGTGATTATTAAATTAATATCCATGGTAACAAAGAAATGGCGGGAAACGTGAACCTAGACAGGAAAATACAGAAACAAAAATAATGACAAGCAAACTAAACCTCCATGAAAATGAAAACTAAGTTGACAGTTTGTGACAGATATCTCTAGACGGGTGAAGACCCATAACTTTATATTTCTCCCACGCTCTATTCGTACCAAAGAGTTTGGAAAAACAAACCTCATTATACAAAGAAAAATACATTATGCAGTCCACATAGTCAGGGTAGTTTGAATGTTGTGGATTTCACAACTTTGAATAGCACCGTTAAAATAAATTAAAAACGTTTAGTTGCTCTATATGTGGAATATTTTCTAAAAACATTTATTTAAACAACTAGGAGGTATCCATTTTTTTCTTAGATGCAGTTTTGATGTTAACAAAATATCTTTTTGATTATCCAAGTAAGATATCTAAGTAAAAGAGCTAATCACTGATTGGTAAAGTCATTGCATCATTAAAGCTGCCGTTAGAAGATTGCTATAGAAATGTGTGAAAAGCGTCTCTGCTTTTATCATGATTCGAGTGTTTAGAAACAAAATGTATGAGCTTTAACTGTTTTTGTTTTATTTTCATAATCATGAAAAATGAATCTTTAATTTTTTTTTGCTGGTACAACACATACACAAACATATTCAGGCTCTATATTTTCTCTGTAACAAAACTTGAATTTATATACTGTGCATTTCTACAAATAAAATGGTTAATCTATGAATGAGAAACTGTAATTTGCTGCTCTGAAATAAAAGGTGTTTCACTGCCGCCTCATCAGGTCTGTCGTTGAAATCTATATGACATTCATAAAGGTAAAGTCACTGTATCTACACTCACCTAAAGGATTATTAGGAACACCATACTAATACTGTGTTTGACCCCCTTTTGCCTTCAGAACTGCCTTAATTCTACGTGGCATTGATTTAACAAGGTGCTGAAAGCATTCTTTAGAAATGTTGGCCCATATTGATAGGAGAGCATCTTGCAGTTGATGGAGATTTGTGGGACGCACATCCAGGGCACGAAGCTCCCGTTCCACCACATCCCAAAGATGCTCTATTGGGTTGAGATCTGGTGACTGTGGGGGCCATTTTAGTACAGTGAACTCATTGTCATGTTCAAGAAACCAATTTGAAATGATTCGAGCTTTGTGACATGGTGCATTATCCTGCTGGAAGTAGCCATCAGAGGATGGGTACATGGTGGCCATAAAGGGATGGACATGGTCAGAAACAATGCTCAGGTAGGCCGTGGCATTTAAACGATGCCCGATTGGCACTAAGGGGCCTAAAGTGTGCCAAGAAAACATCCCTCACACCATTACACCACCACCACCAGCCTGCACAGTGGTAACAAGGCATGATGGATCCATGTTCTCATTCTGTTTACGCCAAATTCTGACTCTACCATCTGAATGTCTCAACAAAAAATCGAGACTCATCAGACCAGGCAACATTTTTCCAGTCTTCAACTGTCCAATTTTGGTGAGCTCTTGCAAATTGTAGCCTCTTTTTCCTATTTGTAGTGGAGATGAGTGGTACCCGGTGGGGTCTTCTGCTGTTGTAGCCCATCCGCCTCAAGGTTGTGCGTGTTGTGGCTTCACAAATGCTTTGCTGCATACCTCGGTTGTAACGAGTGGTTATTTCAGTCAAAGTTGCTCTTCTATCAGCTTGAATCAGTCGCCCCATTCTCCTCTGACCTCTAGCATCAACAAGGCATTTTCGCCCACAGGACTGCCGCATACTGGATGTTTTTCCCTTTTCACACCATTCTTTGTAAACCCTAGAAATGGTTGTGCGTGAAAATCCCAGTAACTGAGCAGATTGTGAAATACTCAGACCGGCCCGTCTGGCACCAACAACCATGCCACGCTCAAAATTGCTTAAATCACGATTGTTACCCATTCTGACATTCAGTTTGGAGTTCAGGAGATTGTCTTGACCAGGACCACACCCCTAAATGCATTGAAGCAACTGCCATGTGATTGGTTGATTAGATAACTGCATTAATGAGAAATTGAACAGGTGTTCCTAATAATCCTTTAGGTGAGTTTATATATAATAATAATAATAATATTAAAATAATAATAATAATATAAATATAAATAAATAAATGTGTCTGAATAAACAATATAATAGCAAAATTATATAAAAATTTAATTGTCCAGCCATTAGTATATGTTTTGCTTTTAAATACTTATAAAACTAAATACATTAATACACATGCAATACAACTATCATTGAGAATATGATGTACACACTCAAGTTTCCATTGTTTGTAGTCAAAAAATGATCTTTTTTTCCTCTTTCATAATCATGAAAAATTAATCTTTGATTAGTCTTTGTCTCCCTCTGCTAGTACAACACAAACACAAACATATTCAGGCTCTATATTATCTCTGTAACAAAACTCAAATCTCTGTAATAAAGTCAACCTTTTTGACCAAATACTGAGCGTTTACACAAATAAAATGGTACATCTATGAATGAAAACTGTAATTTGCTACTGTGAAATAAAAGGTGTTTCACTGCCACCTCATCAGGTCTGTCAGGATTGATGCAATCTAAATAAAGTCTTCATTTATAACAGTGAAGTCACTGTATCTTCAGTCTCTGTTGATTCTGTTGACTGTGAGTCTCAGTAGTGGATCCTTATTCACCATCAGATGGTCATCAGAAGATCAGACTGTCAACTAATACCTAAGATAAAACACAAACAATCACATATGCAGTATAAGACATTACATCTGTCACATATAGAAACTGGAAAAGCTATATTAATTCATTCTCAGATATGATAATATAGCTTCAGTCCGGTGCTTAGTCACTTTACAAACGGACACAAAGGACAGCTGATACAGAACCAGCAGAAAGGATCATTACACTGCACTACAAATTTAATATCATTTAATAAGACAATCCAAATCTCAGATTATCACACACATAGAGACAGTTAAAGGGTAAAAGCTGAAAATAACAGTAAATGTTATTTTCACAATCAGTCACAATACTATGAGCAGAATTAAACTCATATTAATCACAGTTTAAAGTTCAGAGACCTACAGAAACTGAAGCTGAATTTAAGACTCATAATCTGATTATCTCAGACAAAATATTCACACACACACACACACACACACACACACACACACACACACACACACACACACACACACACACACACACACACACACACACACACACACACACGTGGTGTTACTGAACCTAGTACAATTACCTTTTATTTCTAGGGAGTAAAACAGCCATTTGAAATTTAAATAAAAATAGGATGATGTTAAATCTATTCTTACCACACTCTCTCCAGTTTATAATGTGGGTCATCCTCAAGATCAGAGAGCAGCTTCACTCCTGAGTTTCCTATATTGTTAACAGTCAGATCCAGTTCTCTCAGGTGTGAGGGGTTTGATCTCAGAGCTGAAGCCAGAGCAGCACAACCTTCATCTGTGACACCACAATCATACATCCTGTAGAGAACAATGACACACATTAAGCCTAAACATTACTTGATAATAAATAAATGTGTGTGTGTGTGTGTGTGAGAGAGAGAGAGAGAGAGAGAGAGAGAGAGTGTGTGTGTGTGTGTGTGTGTGTGTGTGTGTGTGTGTGTGTGTGTGTGTGAGAGAGAGAGAGAGAGAGAGAGAGAGAGAGAGAGAGAGTGTGTGTGTGCCTGCTTTATAAGTTGTTTTCAAACCATTATCTAACTCTTTACATATGAGCTAATTAAATAACAACATTTTGTTAATTACAGTGACAATGAATGAAAAACTCACTATATTTATATAGTCTATTAATGTAATAACTACAGTTTATAAACTATTAATTAACTATAAAGTAATAACTAAATCAACCAATCATGAATTCAAATAGTACAGCCTATGCAAATGTAACATTGACGCATTCCAATGTGAGTAAAAATGCCCGCACTCAGCTGTCAAGTCATCATAGGTAAATTGATGGCATTATCTTTTGGATCTCAGAGTTTTTCTGAGGGTACGTCGCCAACCGTTAAAGTAATATGGAAATGAATGAAGGTAATATCCAGCATGGTGTTTTTTCAAACCAGCGAAAATTGCAGGATAGTGTAGAACCACTACTATGCAGGAAAAAGGTATTTTTAAATAATTAAACCCCATTTGTCAAAGTTAGTATTGTGGCTTTATGTACGGTCAGACACTTGCGTATGTATTATTCAAATTTTCCCAAAATCATGCTTGAATTGAGTTCAAATGTTTTTGTCAGTCATTAACGGCTGTATCTGAGGCAGTGAGTTTAAAAATGTTATCATCATCTTACAAGTTACAAGGTTATTGTACCGATTTGGGCGCTCAGTTTTTCCTGTTGTTTAATGCATTTGGCCAAAATCTTGTTATAAAAGATTCACAGGCTGTATTGACTATGACTAAATGGCAAACACCAGACTAAAGGCCCTATCATACGTCTGGTGCAATGCAGCGCCAGGCACGACAAGTGTTTTTTGCAAGGTTCACCCCGATGCAGTTATCATTTTCACGTCCTGCGCCACGTTGTTTAAATAGCAAATGTAGTTGCACCCATTTGTGCGCCCATGGGCGTGCTGGTCTGAAAACGAGGTGTGTTCAGACGCAATATACGGCTTATTGCGGTAATTGCAAGCTTTCCGTCAGCAAATGACAGCAGTTTTCTGGCAGAGCGGGAAGGAAGGATTTAAACAGAGAGATACAAAGCGCGGCAGATTAGAGTGTTTTGGATTGCATAAATTAATAAAGAAATGAACAAATACATGGCTAAAGAAGTGGTAGATAGCAGAAGAGGGGATTGGGATGATGTTTAATGAAATTTGGGAGGTGGATGGCCGTTACTCTTTCACGTATCTTTGCATGTGGTGTGTGCATGTGTATGTGTGCGTGTTTATGTATGCATGCATTTGTATGGGTGTGCGTGTATGAAAAAAAGTGTCCTAAATAAAAACTGTGCAACCCAATGTCACAAAAAAGACTTGTATATATGTATTATAGTTAATTTTTTAACTTTAAAGCGTTAGTATCAATCGTTCGAGATTTTTCTTCCTTTATTCTCGTTTTTTAAATTTTTGTCTATTTATATTCTATTTAAAAACTCACCACACACAGTAATGGTCAATGACTGTAATTTGTTGAAAGCTAATTTTTATCTGAAAAAGATGACACCTTGCACATGAAGATAGCACATTGTTTTACAATTTTACAGTCAAAAAATTTTTTAATAAGTGAAAAAACACCTATTTTAGCCTCAGGTTCTAATGCTGCGTTCACACCGGACACGAATAGCGCATCAAATTCGCGCCTGCCGCGTCTTGTTATACGCTTGACCACTTTGTGTTAATTCGCGTGTCAATGGGTAAAAACAAAACGCGGGTAAAAACAAAAGTTTGAAGCGAAATTTACGCGCGTCGGAGGCGAAATCCGGATGCGAAATTTTCGAAACCCCTTGGCGGCCATCTTTTTAGACGTTTATCGAGCATTAGCATTAATCGAGAGAGTCACCGCTCATATATGCTCTGGAGAGTAGAAACAGCTGCATAGGGGACATCGTCGCTGTACTCGGGTCCATCAGACCCTCCGGAGGGTTTCAGGAGTTTCACAATTTGCTCCAGGAGCTAGGTTTGGTGGACCTAACGGTGAGGACGCTGACGAGGACAGTGTAGGCCGTATAAGGCCTCGGCCTCTATTGGTCTATGCCTGTCGAGCCCGCGCTCTACACCCCGGCGCGAGGTTCACCCTCGCCCGCACCCACCTAATCTGTCATTTATTTTTGTTTTGATAATAAATGGAGCCAGCCTCCAAAAGTGAAACCTGTCCTGTGATTTTAAAAAAAGTTTTTATACACTAAATTGTGTTTGTTGTATTTACATTAGAATAATAATGTTTCATATTATCTAGAATAGATATGGAATAAATAGCATTCAATACAAAATGAGTATCTCTCATATATTTAAATCAAGTTTTTATGTGAAAGATTTGCTTTGCACACCAAGCATTTTAGTCATATTACAAAATAATTTATTGAGGCCAAACATAAATAACATTATAAACTGTCACTTCACCACGTGGCAGCAGCAAGCAGGCTCCTGATTGGTTAACGCGGCGCGAATTGACGCAGAAGTTCAGAGTTTTCAACTCGGGCGGCAGACGCGAATTCGCGTCAAACGCGAGAATGCACAAAAAGCACAAGCTCATTAAGAAAATAGGGACAACCCTTTTAGACCATGCGCCAGGTGTGCAACCATTTTTCCCGTAAACTAGCAAAAGTGGATTCCCCACACGCCCTAAGTGCACTTGTGCCGTGCACTTTAGACCATGCGCTTAAATCGTGAAAATAGGGCCCAATGACTCTCTTCTCTGCTCCTCAAATACATAAAAACATTAACCCTTACACATTGGGTTACCAGTTAAAAAAAGAATGTTATTAATCTGTATTTTTTTTTTAAATCAACCCGTTTTTAGAACGATAATATTACAGAAGGAACGCATGAACAAAAACGATAAAATACTGATTCTGTTCGGGGCGAACTCATTGATTATTGTTTAATGTTTTTAAGCCCTGTTATAAAGTGTTACCGTTTTTTCAAACTGGTCGCCATTAAGTGTAATAATTCCTTTTGAATGCAATGTGTGTTTTTTCTTATTTTTTGAAGAATCACACCAATTAGCAAAGTACAGATGAATTGATGACTGATAACCTTATTATTCTTTTTTTTTAAGATATCTATAGATATTGCAATATATTTTTATTGTGAATAATTTTGGACACGATAATCATGTAGTGAAAAATCTAATATGGTCACAGCCCTGGTTCAGGCACACTACACACCACTTCCCTCTTTTCAGTTGCAGCTTCACATTTTGAGGCAATGCTCACGCTTTTGCATGGGTGGTCTGTTTGCACAAGCATTACAAGGTAATAAAATAAAAGATTTAATTAAACTTCTTTACTCTAACCTGCGTCTGTTGTCAGGTTCATAGTTTGTTTGGTTTATTTAACTGTTAGTTTTACTTTATTTTGGGGGATAATAATGTATTTAGATCTAAATTTTCCTTTTCAGGTACAGTCCTCACTGCTGCCTTCAACCGCCGGCAGGATCTGACGGTTCAAGCAGGAATCTGTCACTGAACCGTCTGATGGGGCTTACGCCAAAGGATATTTTGTATGCGCAATCTACATATTAATCCTTATTCACTCTGAGTCTTTATTGTAGAGATGATCTTACCCCAGAACCTCCAGTTCACAGTAAGGATTCTCCACTACAGCAGAGAGCAGCTTCATTCCTGAGTCTCCAAGTTTATTGTCAGACAGATTCAGTTGTCTCAGGTGTGAGGGGTTTAATCTCAGAGCAGAAGCCAGAGCAGCACAACCTTCATCTGTGACACCACACTTACTCAACCTGTACAGAACAATGACACACTCTTTACTCTCTCCGATCAGATCAATAAAGTATTTCTCATGATCACAATCAAACTAACAGTGTGATAAGGTGAGAGAGACTCTGAGAATTTTTTTTATCAATTTAAAGATGAATGAACATTAAAGAGCATGCATTTCTGTTTATCAGTTTAATAGCCCCATTAAATGTATGAGGTTGATGGGGAGCTTATATTTCATGATTACAGTACATTTTTATTTAGTTTCTTTTCACTCAGAAACCTTTAACTTATGAACCTTTCACCTTTCACTTATGAACCTTCATAAATCTCTAATAAATGACTCTTTCTCTGTGATTATATTTACACATTATATGATGACACTGGTATGTGCACACTAGCGATTGATTGTGCAGTTTCATTAGCATTCTGAGGTGCTCATGTTATTTTGTTGAGAGTTTATTCAGTCAATCTTATTTCATTTATAATTGGTTTTCCTTCATATTGCAATGATTTATTTCTTGGTATTTCTGGGAATTATTACATTTTAGTTTACTAATTTACGTTAATCAGTGTTTTGATTAATTTCTTATTTGTTCAGTCTAGGTGTGTCATGATATGCAGGTATTGAAGAAAATCATGTAGTGGCAAATCTGATATCATAACAGCCCTGGTTCAGGTGAACCACACACCACTTCCACCTTTTCAGTTGCAGCTACACATTTTGAAGCAATGCTCACGCTTTTGCAAGGGTGGTTTGATTGCACAAGCATTACAAGGTAAGTTGATTTACATCCAACCATTCGTGATTTAAAACAAAACAAAAAACAATTCACTGTAACCTGTGTCTGTTGCCAGGTTTGTAGTTTGTTTGGTTTATTTAACTGTTAGTTTTACTTTCTTTTGGGGTATACTAATAAATTTTGATCTAAATTTTCCTTTTCTTGTAAACTCCTCACCCCTGCCTTCTGCTGCCGGCAGGATCTGACTGTTTAAGCAGGAATCTGTTGCTGAATCGGCTGATGGGGCTTACGCCAAAGGATATATTGAATGCAATATCTACATATTAATCCTTATTTACCGCATGTATTTATTATAGAGGTGATCTTACCACAGTTTCTCCAGTTTACAGTGAGGATTATCCAGTCCAGCAGAGAGCATCTTTACTCCAGAGTCTCCTAGATCATTCTCAGTCAGATCCAATTGTCTCAGGTGTAAGGGGTTTGATCTCAGAGCTGAAGTCAGAACTGCACAACCTTCATCTGTGACACCACACTTCATCAACCTGTTGAGAACAATGAGACACACTTTAATCTCTCTGTTCAGACACACAGATCAGATATAAAGAGACTTAATTATTCAAAAAAGCGCAAATCACCAGGTTTTAATGTGAGTTTTACCATGTTATTTATGTGTGCTAGTGTCAGAGGGAAAGCTTATAAAAAACTGATTTAACAAACTATGCATATAACATTAAATAATATGGAAAGATGATCACAGAAAAAAGATGGATGTGATGGTCATTAAGGATGAATTAATATTGTTCCTCATGTACTTAAGTCCTGACTTTGCTGAGATTGTGTTTAAAGTAAAGAGTGTTAAAAGTTGATCGTATCACCTTACTGAGGAGCAGGTCATGCATTCAATCATTTACAGATCAATCACTCACTCACTTCAAATCAAGAAAGAGAGATTGAACACTTGAACACAAATTAAAATTAATAAATGGTAATTGTCAACTCCCAATTGTTTTAATTAATGTAATAACAATTTGATTTCCCTTTTTAATTTTGTTACCTTATAAATAAATTAAATTATATAATTCACAGTGACTCAGTTTAATGTGAGAGTCACGTATGATCTTACCACAGTTCCTCCAGTTTGCAGTTCTCCAGTACAACAGAGAGCTGCTTCACTCCTGAGTCTCCTAGTTTGTTCTCAGACAGATCCAGGTTTCTCAGGTGTGAGGGGTTTGATCTAAGAGCTGAAGCCAGAGCAGCACAACCTTCAACTGTGACACCACAATCACTCAAACTGTAGAGAACAATGACACACTGTCTCAGATCAACAAAGACTTCATTATCAAAGAGAAAACCAATGACATATGCTCAAATGACTATGTTATATGGATCTTGGTCTGTGTCACAGAGCACAAAAGATTATCATAACATACCTGCAGTCACATTTAAGCAGGAAAAATATTTTTTTTTCTTAATTGTTTATAACTTTATATCTCTTTTTTAAAACAATTTATTCAAAATGTCAGTGAGTTTTACTGTTATTCTAAGAGATTATGTCTTCTATATGAGTATGTGTGTGAGAGAGAAAGATTATATAAAACTGATATAGAAAATTAAAACTGTATATCACAAAAATATAGGGCAGGGGAGAAAGAAGATAATATATTATAGAGATATTCTTAATGTTACTCAGAAAACAGGTCACAGGTTTAATTCGTTTGAAGTACTTGTGCTAAATGTTACGCTCTTAGATGTAAGAAAGAAATCCCTATTATCTCTAGCCTTGGCCACCGTATATAGACCTCCAGGGCCATATGCTGAATTCCTAAAAGAGTTTGCAGACTTTCTCTCAGATCTATTGGTCAATGTCGATAAAGCAATAATTGTTGGAGATTTTAACATACACGTAGAAAACACAAATGATGCGTTAGGGGCTGCGTTTACAGATTTATTAAACTCCTTTGGGGTCAAGCAAAACGTCAGTGGTCCCACTCATCGTCTAAATCATACACTAGATTTAATTATATCATACGGAACCAATCTAACCGATATAGATATTATACCGCAAAGTGACGATCTCACTGATCATCACATGGTAACTTGTATAATACGTACTGCTGAAATTTGTCATGTTGCGCCACGTTATAGACCAGGCAGAACAATCGTTCCAACCACTATAGATAGATTCTCAAATAGCTTACCTGATCTATCTCAGCTGCTCAGTGAACCCAAACAAACAGATGAACTAGAGGAAATGACCAGCAGTTTGAGCTCCATTTTCTCTAGTACATTAGATATTGTTGCACCAATTAGATTAAAAAAGGTTAGAGAAAAAACTAAAGCACCATGGTACAATAGTACTACACATGTTATCAAGAGAGAAACTCGTAACTTAGAGCGTAAATGGAAACAAACTAATTTAGAGGTCTTTAGAATCGCGTGGAAAGACAGTATGTCACGTTATAAAAAGGCTCTAAAAGCAGCCAGGGCTGAGCATCTCCGCAAACTAATAGAAAATAACCAAAATAATCCAAGGTTTTTATTTAACACTGTAGCTAGACTAACAAATAAACAGACATCACCAGAGCTAAATATTACGTTACAGTATAGTTGTAATGATTTTATGAATTACTTCAATGAGAAAATAGAAAGCATCCGAAATACAATTGTAAATGTACAATCCTCTATGGTGTCTTATGATTCAGCCTCAATTATCGCCCCTCAAGAACAACTACACCGCTTTACAACTATAGGACAAGAGGAGCTAAATAAACTTATCATTGCATCTAAACCAACAACATGTTCATTAGATCCAATACCCACTAAACTACTGAAAGAAGTGTTACCTGTAGTGGAAGAGCCTCTTCTCAATATTATTAACTCATCTTTATTTTTAGGTCATGTTCCAAAAATATTCAAGCTGGCAGTTATAAAACCTCTTATTAAGAAACCGCAATTAGATCAAAATAACTTAGCAAATTACAGACCCATTTCAAATCTTTCATTTATGTCTAAAATACTAGAAAAAATTGTGCTCTTTCAATTGTGCTCTTTCAGTCAGGATTCAGACCGCATCATAGCACAGAAACTGCGCTAGTTAAAATTACAAATGATTTACTTTTAGCTTCTGACCAAGGCTGTATCTCAATACTAGTTCTACTCGATCTTAGCGCTGCGTTCGACACTATAGATCATAAAATACTCTTGGATCGACTACAAAACTACACTGGTGTTCAGGGACAGGCATTAAGCTGGTTTAGATCGTACCTATCAGACCGTTACCATTTTGTCTGTTTAAATGGGGAAAAATCGAAGATAACCTCAGTAGACTATGGAGTGCCGCAAGGATCGGTGTTAGGCCCTCTGCTATTCTCAATATATATGCTGCCACTTGGTAATATTATAAGAAAACATGGAATTAATTTCCACTGCTATGCTGATGACACTCAATTATATATTTCATCATGACCAGATGAAAACACTAACTTATCTAAATTGACAGAATGTCTTAAAGATATAAAATGCTGGATGACGTGTAATTTCCTGCTATTAAATCCAGATAAAACGGAGGTATTACTTATTGGTCCAAAAAACTACCCACAAAATCTCTTACAATTTACCTTTCATTTTGAAGGATGTCCTGTTACCTTATCCACTACAGTAAAAGACCTGGGTGTTATACTAGACCGCAACTTGTCTTTCGAAAATCATATTTCATTTGTTACAAGAACTGCCTTTTTCCACCTTAGAAACATTGCTAAATTACGTAACATGCTATCTGTTTCTGATGCAGAAAAGTTAGTTCATGCATTCATGACCTCGAGACTAGATTACTGTAATGCTTTATTAGCTGGTTGTCCTGCATCCTCAATAAACAAGCTACAGCTAGTCCAAAATGCAGCTGCTAGAGTTCTTACTAGGTCAAGAAAATATGATCATATAACACCGATTTTATCATCTCTGCACTGGTTACATATTAAGTTCCGTATCAATTACAAAGTACTACTACTGACCTATTAAGCCCTAAATGGTTTAGCTCCTGTGTATTTAATGGACCTTCTATCGCCCTACAATCCATCGCGTTCTTTAAGATCACTAAATTCGAGGCTTCTGGTCATTCCTAGGATATCTAAGTCCACTAAAGGAGGGAGGGCGTTCTCACATTTAGCTCCAAAACTCTGGAATAGCCTTCCTGATATTGTTCGTTGCTCAGACTCGCTCTCCCAGTTCAAAACTAGATTAAAGACGCATCTCTTCAGCCAAGCATTCACATAATGCTTACCTTTTATACTACTGTTGAATCAGATCAAATGCATTAATATTATGAACAGCACCTACGCTAATTATTTCCCATCTGCTTTTCTGCTGTTATCTCGGGATGCTAGTCCCGAGGTAAATAGCGTTCGTCAGCTCCAGTTTGTATCCAGCCTCTCACGGAGACTTCAGATGCCCCAACACCTGCGATGAGACGACTCGACGCCTGTGAAGAGACGACTCAACGCCGGCGATATGTTATGCACTAAATTAATATATGATGATTAACTAACTATATTCTTCTATGTACATTTCTGAAATGCACTTTCTGTAAAGCTGCTTTGAAACAATATGTATTGTGAAAAGCGCTATACAAATAAATTTGAATTGAAAATTGAATTAAATTGAAAGAAGATATGAATTATCATAGTTCTCCTCAGAAAAATGCTTACTACATACAAACAGTTTGACTGTGTTAGTAGTTGATGGCCAACCAACCACCCGCAGCCAGAGTCTCGCCCTGACAGCATCGTGGGGAAAGTGATCCAACACCCTCAAACTCTTATACCATGGACACAAACACTTGAGACCTCTCTAAATCACTACATGATCTTACAGTTTGAAGTATCGGTCATAGAAAAGCGCAAAGTGCTGTCATGAATAACTGAAAGAGAAATGTCTTGAACACACAGTCTAATGAATAATTATGACACAGACATTTCATCAATGTACTGTAGTGTTTTGCCACATCATAATCTGTGACATTGACACAATGTAGATTTTAAACCTGGAAAATAGTGGGAAAAGCTCTAAATTAACCAGTTTTCTCCTATGATGTGCAGCACCACCAACTGTTATATCCTTATGTGATAATTAGCTGATGAGTTGAATCAGGTGTGTTTGATTAGGGAGACAAAGAAAACGTGCAGTGTTGGGGGTCCTTCAGGAACAGGGTCGGGAAACACTGCTGTAGAAGACTGTTAATTCTTAGTTCTCGTTAACTAAATGGTTAACTAATATAAACTGATGAAACCTTGTCGTAAAGTGTTTCCATTTTCACTTACATCTTATGAACAGATGTAATGTTTGGCAATTTGATCATGTTTTTTAAATAATTTTCTTTGTAATTAATGTAATAATGGTTAGTTTTCCATGCATTTTATTCCATTTTTAATGTTATTTTATTAATTATTGCAATTACAAAATTCACAGTGACACCATTTCATTTGAGAGTCACATATGATCTCACCTCAGTTTCTCTAGTTTACAGTAAGTATTCTCCACTATAGCAGAGAGCAGCTTCACTCCTGAGTCTCCTAGATTATTATATGACAGACCCAGTTCTCTCAGGTGTGAGGGGTTTGATCTAAGAGCTGAAGCCAGAGCAGCACAACCTTCATCTGTGACACCACAATCACTCAACCTGTAGAGAACAATGACACTTTTTTACTCTCTCTGTAACCCATATGTGTTTTAAAGTTTACTAATAAAGCATCTCTGTATTATATGGCCTATTGTGTCCCATTTGATGGTGTGGATCAACTGTCAGTCTGAGTGGGCAAGTGCCTCCCTGGCCTTTTGTACCCTTGCCGCTGATGTGATGTGATGAGAGTGAAGATGAATGAAATCAGCTTTAGCTTTAGACATCAAACACATTAAATGTGATTATGTTGAATGTGATTTGTCTCAAATCATGTTAATTACAATGATACACTGATTTGGTCTCACTATAAACTATTTTAAAATATGTCTCTTTGAGGACCATTTCAAATGACTATCAGAGATATGATTTTACCTCCAATTCTCCAGTTTACATTGAAGATTCTCCAGTACAGCAAAGAGCAGCTTCACTCCCGAGTCTCCTAGTTTATTCTCAGACAGATCCAGTTCTCTCAGGTGTGAGGGGTTTGATCTCAGAGCTGAAGCCAGAGCAGCACAACCTTCATCTGTGACACCACACTTACTCAACCTGTAGAGAACAATGGCACACTCTTCACTCTCTCATTAGCCCATATATGTTTTAAAGATTACTAATAAAACATCTCTGTATGATATAATGTAGCTGATATTCATCTAATTATGTTGTTGCGTCCTGGGGACGTATAATATGCATATATGTTTTGGAGTGTGTATTTTACTCTGTGTGGGTGTGTTTTTGCCATGTGCTTTCTGTCTCTCTCCCTCGCTCTGCTTGCCTTGCAGTTAAATGTCCACATCTGATGCTTGTAAGGATTGTGCTCCAAACAACAACTGCTATAGCTGTGTCCCAATTCAGGGGCTGCATTCTTTGAAGGCTGCAGCGCAATGAAGACGGTCCCAATTTGAAGGCTTCTTCAAATGCTGCCTCAAAATGCAGCCTTCGTTTCACAGGCCGTGAAGGATAGAAAAGATGGATCCTTCGAGGCCCAGGCTAAACCAAGATACATTGCAAGTAAATAAATAGGTAAATACTTTTACTCAATATTAGGTTTCAATAAAGTAGATTAACTAATTATACAAATGTTTCAAAAATTCAAAGGAATTGCCTCAGGGCTAGAAGCACAACCGTCATTTCCAAGCAATTTGTGTGCCAAGAGAGATGATGCCCTCTCTACAGACCTATAGTTAAGCAGCCCGCCATAACCACACCACAGCTTGTGAGAGAATAGTCACTATTTTTCACTGACAGGATGCTCCCAGCACAGGACCCTGGGACAGGAACCACGTTTTTTCTCACATAACCAGAGAACGAAGGCATCTGTACTAATTATTATCTGATTATGCAGAATGTGTTTCCCCTCAGGGAGAAACCTCTGGTCCTGAGCCACCACTGCAGGGGTCTCATGCACACCAGGCCAAATGGTATTATATTGGGTGCTGCTGCCAAAAGCACAAGCAGTCTCTGAAAGTGCTTGACAGTGATGGCTTGGTCTAGCTTGATGTAGGGGACTGTGGTCAAGCTGGTCTCTATACGAGCAGGAGACAACTGTGCCCACATCATAGTCGAGTCCCACACTAAACCCAGGAATGTAATTCTCTGTTGGGGAGACAGTGAGCTTTTCCTGACGTTGAGTCTCAACCACAAGCACCTTATATGGCAAAGAAGATTATGATAATGCTAGGCTGAATGGAAGAAACCGATATTGGTATGCTTTTCCCCCGAAAGCGAACCTCAGGAACTTCCTTTGTTGGAGAAGGACTGATATGTGGCAATACGGGTCTTTGAGATCTATCGTGACAAACCAGTCCTCTGACCTGATTTGACTAACGATAATAGGGATAGTTAACATTTTGAAACTGAATCTTCTCAGAGAACGATTCAGCACCCTGAGATCTATAATGGGACGCAGCCCTCCATTCTTCTTGGGAAGTATAAAGTACTGGCTGTAGAACCCGGCCTCCCTCTCCCGAAAAGGAATACACAATATGGCCTCTTCGCTAAGAATTGTTTGAACTTCTAGCTCCATCACCTGACCCTGCAGAGGGTTGACGATAGTCCATACCACCCCACTAAATTTCGGCGCACAGTACTCAAATTGAATTCTGTAACTTTTTTCCACCGTGCTCAGGACCCACTGAGATATATTGGGGAGATTCCTCCATGGATCCACATACTCTACAAGAGGAACCAGTCTCTCGAGACTGACCCTGGGTGTTATGTTTATAAATGGTTCGGTGCCCTAAAGCAGCTGGCTGGCAGGAGAAAACCGAACACATTTTTCTACAAGCAATATATGAGGGAGCGAACTCGACAGGGCTGCAATGACTTTGGTCGGACAGTGCGATTTGCGCTTGCTGGAAACCGATGCGTCCTGTGCAAGAGGCAGCGGGAAGCAAACATTGTTTTCTAAGGGTTCCGCGGAGGAGCGAAATGCTGTCGCTCCACCACAGGGGGGATCTCCCTCAGAGGCCTGTGCATCAAGTCAGAAACTCTTCTTTGAAGCTTTCCTTGCCCGTATGAAAGTCAGCAGATCTGTCTTCTGCTTAGAAGGCTACAGGTGAGAGTGTTGCTTTGACCCCCATGCTTTGTTCTGTACACTTGTAAATCATCTCACCATAACAAGTGTAGACATTATGTAAATAAGAGATCCATTGTGCAGTGTGGACAGCTACATTGATTATAATGGGATTGTGATCGAAGATCTAAGATAAAGATCTAAGATCAGCTTTTTAGTGATTATAAGGTAGCGCTCTTTGCTTTATATATATATATATATATATATATATAATCCATTCAGAATTTGAATATTTTCTTTTTCATGTATTTGAGCAATTTTTATAGTAATATGTTTTTATTATAATGTGTGTGATTTTTCTACTTTCCCACAAATAAATTATTTTCTGTCTCATTTGATCGGAGTGGAGCAGCTGTCAATCTGAGAGGGCCAGTGCCTCCCTGGCCTTGTGTAGCCTTGCCACTTAGGTGATGTGATGAAAATGAAGATGAATGAAATCAGCTTTAGCTTCATCTATCAAAAACATAAACTGTGATTATGTTGAATGTGATTCATGTAAAATCCTTATATGTTAATAACAATGCCAAACACTCTTATTTGGTCTCATCATAAACTATTTTAAAATATGTCTCTCTGAGCACCAGATCATGTGACAATCAGAGAGATGATCTTACCTCCAATTCTCCAGTTTACAGTGATGATTCTCCAATACAACAGAGAGCAGCTTCACTCCTGTGTCACCTAATTTATTCTTAGACAGATTCAGTTGTCTCAAGTGTGAGGGGTTTAATCTCAGAGCTGAAGCCAGAGAAGCACAACCTTTATCTGTGACACCACACTTACTCAATCTGTAGAGAACAATGACACTTAGATAAAAACATACAGGGTCACATTTCTCAAAAGCATCATAAAACTTGTAAAAACAATTGTATGAATCATCCTAAAATTTCAGTCTATTTCCCAAACTATTGTAACTTAAGTAGCATTTAAAATGGTTGAAGATCTCGAGTGCTCTGAAGTAATCGTTATCTGCTTGCATGTGTTGGAGACAGACTCAAGCTGTCATCTGCAGGACAACCACAAGATGAAGCTGTGTCATTTAAGTAATTTTCGTCTCATAGTTACATGATCTTAGAAGTCTGGAGTTTTTAAACACACTGAGCATCTACAAGCACCTGTAACCCTGGTAAGAAGAAATTTCCATTTTAACCCTTTAACCTGATTCCGCTTCTCTGTTTGTGATCAGACCATTTTAAGCCGTTAAACTCTGGGAAAGCTTTCAGTGATCCAGTAATCGAATTCATTCAAACAATCAGTCCAAAACAGTGCTCATATAGAGAAGGCCAGGTTGAATACATTAGAGATATCAGAGAAAAGAGACTCACATTGCGTATTTAGTGATTTATTCATTTCAGTGTGTGCTTTGCTTTTTCATATTCTGTGATTGTTTCTGAAGAGCACAATTTTGGTGACGTACAGGAGTCGTACAGTAAGTGTGTGGGAGTTTTATAATGATAGTTATAATTATGCAAAAAAGAACAAACCGTGTATGTGTGCTCTCGATCACTGATCACACACTGCATTTATGTACCGACACATTTCAGTACTCCGACACGCTCTGCAAGTAGCCAGGGCGGAGCATGCTTGGCCGGAAGACAGGCTGGAGCATAAGTGACAGGAGAACAGAACGGAGCACACATAACACAGGACCAGGGCAGAGTACACTTAGAAGGGTACCAGGACAGAGCAGACTCGGACGGAGACGAGGGCGGAGCAGACTGAGGCGAAGGCCAGGGCGGAGCAGGATGATGCGAAGGGCAGGGTGGTGAAGCCCCTGCAGACGACCATGGCGGCGCAGTCTTCATGGTCTCTTCACCCCCCCCCCCCCCCCAAAAAAATACTTGGGGAAATCCACGGGTTCAGGAAAGGCCTCCCGGAGCTTGAAGGGCGCAGGCAGGGCGAGGCGCAGAGGCGGGGCCGGCAGGGCAAGGCGAGAAGTCTGGGTACGCTCACTGAAGCCTGATGAGCCGAGCGAGTCCTCCTTCTCTTCCTTCTGCGACGGCGCTTCACTGGGCTTGACTCGGTTGACTCGGTAGACTCACTTGACTCAGTAGACTCCCTTGACTCAGTAGACTCACTTGACTCAGCTCACTTGACTCAGTAGACTCACTTGACTCAGTAGACTCTTGAGGCAGGAATACAACGGAGCTCACGTGAAGTGTTAGAACGACGAGATTCACATGTTGCTTGGATTCGGAGGACCCTTTACGAAGCGCTGGTTCAACTGGGCTTTCATGTAGCGCAAACTCGGTGGAGCACGTGTGAAGCGCTGGTTCACCGGGAGACTCTAGATACGTGGATTCAGTGGGTACCTTGTAAAATGGTGAATCGTCGGGTCCTCTGTGAAGCAAAAGTTCCAGAAAAATCCACAGTAAAAACAGAGAGTTCAGACAGTCCTCCCCGAAAGAACATCATTAAACAGAAATCATCTAAGTAGGACTGACGAGAGAGCTTAAAAAATCGGTCACAAAAACCTTGAGAGGACGTTCTCCTTGACGGAGGCTTACGATCTGCGCTGTGGGATCCATAACGAGGTCCGTGTTCCTCTCAGCCGCTGGATCAGTGAGGGCTCAGTACTCTGTCATGAAACTGCACATGGAACATGGACAGAGGTGATCCAAACGCAGGCTTTATTAAGAGGAGGATCCAGAGACAGGTACAGGGAAAGATGCAGGGGTCAAAACCAGGTAAGCAGTCCAGATCAGCAATCATACAATACAGGGATAAGGCAGACGGGAAGACCAGATACAGGCAGGGAGTCCAGGAACCGTGAAACTAGAAAACACTAAGGCTGCGTTTAAACTTGGCATTAACATGCGATCACCGTGATCCGATCAAGCAGATCGGATCATTAGCCAATCAGGACATGATGCGTTTATATTTGTTCACATTAAGCAGCCTCTGTATCTGTGGATAACCGATCGGATTTCTGTTTCCCGCATAATATTTAAATCAGGTCTGTGGCACGACACCAGATTAATAGTAAAGATGATACAAATTAAACAACATCCCAATTGCTTTCACTCACTCACTTTACTTTCAAATGCAATCTCCATTAATTAGATCAAATTATATTTTTTGAAAGAAGGAATACTTCCAGAGTTGATCTTACAAAAATAACTAGGTTGATCATGTTAAACAAGTCACATCATGCATCATCTGGGTTTAAGGTTGCGTGAAATGACTATATTGACAGAAATGGGAGATTGATAAACATGCTGAAACAATAAAAACATTCAACATTTAAAACATTTAAAAATTCCGATTCTGATTCCGATTATTCCTCTGGCAAGTGCAGCTCTTCATTAAGATCTCATGACTGACTGTGAGTGTACAGGCGATCGCCTCGTTCAGATAATGTTGCACAATTAAAATGAAAAATGACACACATAAAGTGTTAAAAGATTGTTTTAAAGATTGACGTTTATTGTTCAAATAAGTTTAATTTCGTGTCTAAACTGCGTCTGGCCATTACTTTCTGACAGTCACGCAGGGAGACTGGGCGGGGATTTAAATTACGTTCACCTGTGAATGCAGACACGATGGCTGGATTGCGTTTACATTACACTGAGATCCGATCACAATGCGTCCTCGACTACCTCCGAACCGGGACACGCTGATCGGATAACATTCCCATCAGATGTGCGTTTACACTTGTCTTTTCAATGTGTATGTGGACAACATCCAGATACAGGTCGCATGTTAATGCCAAGTGTAAACGCAGCCTTCTGAGCCCTGAACAAAGGGAAAACTCAGGCTTAAATCAGGGACGCTCAAACTAAAACAGGTGCAACAAATAAACCATAATCAGTCCAGGGTAAAAACATAGGAAACAATAAACTAGATGCAACACGCATTTGAAAAAGCGAGGCGCTGGAGAGCACAATTCGTTTGAATGCAAAATACAATTTCACCGCTAGATGGGAGAAATTCCTACACAATGTCCCTTTAATATAAATGTATAATTTAATCATAGCAGAAACATGCCTAGACATGTTCCACAGGGCTGGTTTGAAAATATTGATTTCCCGATTTTAAACAATCTTTGGAAAAAAGCGTGGTGCCGCCTCCCGTCCAATAAATCACAATAAGCTTTATTACTTTGATAAGAAACAAAGCCTTTAGCTTTCAAATTATGTCAAACTTATCACAGAATTCAAACAATTTTTAAATTTCCTTGGGGAGGCCTCCCTATGTTATTCAACGGGTCATGAGACCAACTAAACAATGAAATTACACTTCACATATCTTTTTTCCAAAGATATTTTCTGTCATTTACTGTAGTTTTTATCACGTTGATGTAATTTCAAGTGTTTGTTTTTAAAGTAAGTTTGTATTTGGTTAGTTATTTGATGCTATAAAAACGGTGGTGTGACGTCATGATTAACAGGTTCTCTGAGTGAGGTAGTCACTGAAGCACCAACGGACTTCGGGATCTTCGGAGTACTGAGGAGATTGTATTTACTTTATTTTAACAAGCCTCTTGTCGTACTGCAATCAACAGACATCAAAATTGGAGCAGAACGGAGGAACGGAGCAGACAGGCCAAAGTGCAGGTTCTGTGAGAGTGCATTCGGAGAGAGTGAGGGCGTGGCGTTCATTTCGCGGCTTTACTTCCTGTTCACTACTGCGCAGGTCTGGTCCTGAGATCGCAACTGTGCAGACTCAAATCTCAAGATGTCAGCGCCATATCGGGACACTGGCGGCTTCATTTCTCACCAATAGAAGAGAGCGAAGGGGCATCATCCATCTTTTTTTTTACAGTCTATGGGTGTGACAGATCGCTTTAGCACTTTAGTTCAAGCGGCAGTATGGAGCGTGAGTGAACCAGTTATCTTTTCCTCTTTACTAGTTGTTATAGCATGAAAGAAACATAAATGAATATTATTATAACTCAGTTTCAGTTTATTTATAAAGCACGTTTAAAAACGGCCACTGGCCGACCAAAGTGCTGTACACATAGCAAATTAAACTAATGGAATTTAGTGAAATAAATAATGTTAAACAGTTCGGAGCAGAATAGTCATTGTAAGCTAAAAGCAACAGAAAATAAATAGGTTTTAAGACAAGACTTGAACTCAGACAGAGAGGAAGTTGATCTAATATAAAGTGGGAGCTTGTTCCAGAGTGTGGGACCACCAGCCACTTCAAATGCAAGATTTCCCCTTGATATTATAACTCAGTCACTTCAACTCACAGCAGAGAATATATATTAGCTAAAACATAACACAGAATGTAATTTTTTTATCATGTCTCAGTCTGTAAAAAGTTAACAGAAACACATTTACAATAAAGCTCTTACAATAGAAGTCTAGCAGGTCAGAGAGGTGGAGGGTTTAAAAGCTGGAGTCTGACACTCATATCTTTTTTTAAACTATTAATTAAAAAAAAAAAATAAAGCAAAAAATGTTCTAATGTTTTAACAATGAGGATTGTTCTCAGTGTTACTTACACAGCTGATCTAGTTGCTGTAACCACAGGCAGCAGCTTCTGAAGAACTTCATCTGCTGTGTTTTGTTCTTTCTGGGTGGCAGATGCATCACTGTTGTAAAATAAAAACATAAGTTAATAATTAAAGCTAATAATAATAATCATATCCAATATTATAAGTGAATAATACATTAAATACCTAACTAAACATCCTCACATATTTTTCAATTAAATAAACACTGCTTTAAAAAGGACATTAACGTTTTTTTAGTATCTAAATGTAAAACCTACGTATTCAGCCAACACAGATTTGTTTTTGTTTTTGTTGTTATGTTTTCTTTTTTTGTCAATGTTGCTGTGTCACAATCCCTGCCTGTGTTTCCTAAGTCTGTTGTCATGGACTCATGCACTCATCTCCTTAGCAGTTTACATAGTAACTCAAGTCATTAGCTCATTGGTTATGCTCAGCATTTATAGCCCTGCTTGTCATTAGTTTGGTTGTCAGTTATTGTATGTACGTATCCTAGATTATCTTGTGTTTTCTCCTGTTCTACCTTTGTTTACTCCTGCTACCTTGTGTTCTCTGACCGTGTGGACTATTTTAATAAATATCACTGCACATGGATCTGCTCCCCAGCCTGTTCCTTTGCCTGCCTGAATGCCACACTGTTCATAGACACACAGTGGCAGGTCTAATTTCGTAATTTCGAAAAAATATTGATAAATACTTCTTTTTTTTATCATTAATGCAATACAGTGAATGACAGCCATCTGTGTCTCCCAGTGGCTTATATTATTGCCAATTTAGTGTTAAGTGATTAATTTATGCCTTAACATTTAATTAATTTATGCCTACATGTTAAAGATAACATGTATGCCTTCATCTCCAAAAACATTATTTTTGTCTTACATTTCATAATAAACTCAGATAAGCTTAGTGCTGACTCATTTTCCATCAGTTCGTTTTCATGTGTGCAAAGGATTGTGGGTGATTGAAGGACAAAAAGGATACACCAGGGGCACGTTCAAGTTCAAAACGGTGTTTCCGGGTTGAACGTCATGTTTCCTGGAAACGGCGTGCACCGGTGTGCAACGGGGTTTGAGATGCGTTTTCTCTTGTTTGATGGGTGTGTCAGAACTGCAGTCCAATCAGCAGCAACATGTATATAAAGCACACGGTATTAAAGTGAACTCGCACAATGGGTTCATGGAAAGTAATTTACAAATGTGTTCGATGCAGCTCGGTATGCGCAACAACTGAGGATATTAGAAGACACGTTTGTCGTAAGTTTTATTGTAAAAATATAGGATATCAACAATGATGTAGTTGTTTATATGTTTAGCTTCATTGCAAGTGTATGACATTTGGTATAGAAATAAACAATGGCAATTAAGTGCTTTTCCTAAAAATGAGAAAGAACATACAGGGTATTAAAACAGCATGAACTACAAATAAAGTCAATATGTGAGGCTAAATAGATGTGTTTTAGTCTGAATTAGGTAAGATGTGTGATTCCATTTCAGTTTCCACAAATCCCTTCACTCGATTGGGATGTTCTCTTGTGTTCTGGGCGGCAAGTGCAGTAACTGTAACATCGGGCATATTTTGTAGTATTAAACACATATTTATACCGACTTCATCAGGCTCCGAAAATTCTTCACAAAAAACACAAAGAATGGCCTTTCTCAGCTGCCATAGTTGCAACTCTTGCGTCATCAGAACAGTGCGTTCAACGCATCACCGTTTCTGTTTAAAAAACGTTGTGCAACGTTTTGTCGGTGCTGAACACAGCCCTGATGTTTCCTTCAAAATTAGCTGATTTAAGGATATGAAATTAAGGCTAACAGGATCATTCAAATTGAGACGGCCTTCTGTGACACTTGATGAAGTGGCAGTTGAGATGTACAGCCTTTACTAGGACTTCCGTTTGAGAAGCACCCGCAAATTGCGTACAATATCCCATAAATCAATATTTGCCTCATGATTTTACCACCTCTGATTGGCCATTGCTTTCAAGTGCTTAACAGACATGTCTGTGATTGGCTACAATTCTCAATGCTGCCAAAACACACTGTTAAAAAAAAAACGTTGCCTTTGTAAATAAAAACCAGATCACATGCACAAATACGCAATGAAGCTTTTGAAAGCAGTCGTCCATCATCAATACCGAATTGAGTCTGTACTACCAGCCCCACCCGACAATTAAAAAAATCTATTACACAAATCACATTCTTGTGCTTTATTTCTGTATGGAGGAGTGATTTTGGGAGTGTTTGTGTAAGAGAGAAATAAAAGAATATAAAAATATGAACTACTAAACTCTGTGTGACATCTGCAGGATTACAAATTTCTGAGCTTCTTGATTCTCTTGTTTTGTTCACCATATTTTAGACTGTAATGATTGTACTTTTTGTTACTTACCGATAATCATCTCCAGTTAAGCTGTTCAGTTTAAAGTCATTCATTGTCTCCTCTGATGTCAACAACACAAAAACTAAAGCTGACCACTGAGACGAGGAGAGTTTCACATTACGTAATCCTCCACGGCTCATATGAGGTTGAGCTTCGTTTACTAGAGAAAGATCACCCAGTTCATTCAGACAGTGAAACAGATTGATGTATTTATCTGGAGAAGGATTCTCACTGATCTTCTCTTTAATATAGTCAACTGTTTCCTCATTGCTGTGAGACCTGTTTGCTGTCTGTGTCTTTAGTTCTTGTAAGAGACTCTGATTAGACTCCACTGACAGACCCAGAAGGAAACGAAGGAAAAGGTCCAGATGCCCATTTCTACTGTGTAAAGCCTCATCCACAGCTCTCTGATGGAGATCAGATAGGGACACTTTGTCTCCATTAGTTGGTTTGGTAATCTGGTCAAACACATGGATGTTATGGTTTATAAAGGAGAGATGCACATACAGAGCTGCGAGATGTTCCTGAATGCTCAGATGAACAAAGCAGAAGACTCTCCCCTGATACAAGCCCAACTCCTCTCTGAAGATCTGAGTGCACAATCCTGAGTAAACTGATGCTTCTGCCACATCAATGCCACACTCGCTCAGGTCTTCCTCATAGAAGATCAGGTTGCCTTTCACAAGCTGCCGATACGCCAGTTTCCCCAATTTGACAATCATGTCTTCATCTTTCACTTTCTCCTCATAGTCCTTCTCATGTTTGATGTTGGTCTGAATGAGCAGGAAGTGTGTGTACATTTGAGTGAGAGTCTTGGGAATCTCTCCACTCTCTGCTCCACTGCACATCTCCTCTAGAACAGTGGCTGAGATCCAGCAGAACACTGGGATGTGGCACATGATAAAGAGGCTCCTTGAGGACTTCAGGTGTGAGATGATCCTGTCGGCCAGACTCTGATCACTGATTCTCTTCCTGAAGTATTCCTGCTTCTGTGTGTCACTGAAGCCTCGTACCTCTGTCACTCGATGGACACACTCAGAGGGGAAGAGATCCGCTGCTGCTGGTCTGGAGGTGATCCAGATGAGAGACGAGGGAAGCAGATTCCCCACAATGAGGTTCGTCAGCAGCTCGTCCACTGAGGCGGATTCAGTCACATCACACAACCTCACATCGCTCTGAAAATCCAGAGACAAACGACACTCATCCAGACCATCAAAGATGAATGCAACTTTATACTCATCACTGGATATGGCCATTTCTCTGGTTTTAGGGAAGAAGCGATGAAGAAGATCTGAAAGACTGAGTGTTTTGTCCTTCATCAAGTTGAGCTCTCTGAAAGGAAGTGGAAATATGAGCTGGACGTCCTGATTCTCTTTCCCTTCAGCCCAGTCCAGGATGAACTTCTGCACAGAGACTGTTTTTCCAATGCCAGCGACTCCCTTTGTCAGCACAGTTCTGATGGGTTTGTCTTGTCCAGGTAAAGGTGTAAAGATGTCACTGCATTTGATCGGTGTGTCCTCTGTTTCTGCTCTCCTGGACTGTGTCTCAATCTGTCTCACCTCATGCTCATTATTGATCTCTCCACTTCCACTCTCGGTGATGTAGAGCTCTGTGTAGATCTCATTCAGGAGTGTTGGGTTTCCCTGCTTTGATATTCCCTCATACAAACACTCAAACTTCTTTCTCAGATTTGATCTCAATGTGTTTAGGACTTCAGCAAGTTTAGACCAATGACTGTAAAATTAAAATGCCACATTATTACACAAATTAGATAAGTAAATAGACATTATTTACTAAATACATTTTTTTGTTTGCTGTATTATGAGGCACAGAACATCATTAGGCTTTTCTGAAATGGTTACATTATTATTCATATGTTTGAGTGATGTTTTATGTGCATTGCAGCACCTAGGATTAAACAACAACAAAAGTCATACATTTTACCTGAAACCAGGATACATGCTGTCATTAAAGTCGTGTGGTTGAATCACAGTTTTGTTTTTAACTGTTCTGGATAGAAGATGGTTATCATTAATATACTTCAACTTGCAGGATTTGAACGTAGCATTGTTCCCTTTCGAAAAGGAACTCGCACTGCGTCGATGACGCTTTGGGGGAACGCCTCAGGCGTGACAGTTGTCTGAAATCACAATCAAATCACCGCAATCACGTTGACCGACGACAGCCCGTGAATCATTAGCGTGAATGATTAACGTGCGACCTGGTAGTATAAAAGGGTGCCTTGCAAACATGACAAATCATATTTTCGTCTTCAGGGACTGTCTGTGTTAAACGCAACTCAAAAAAAACTGTGAGAAAATGAAACGTGCAGCAAAGGCTGATTGTTTTCAGAAGTGTGCAGACCCGCGCCCAAGATTTTTGACGCCGGCGGGTGACACACACAAGCTGTGCGTTTTCTGCCTGGGCGTTTTCTGCCTGGGAGAAGAGCATGCACGGGAGGTTCTCGAGGGAGCCTGCTGTGCAAACTGTCAGCGTTTTCTGTGAAAACGCTCCGCTCTCGTCTGGCCCTCTTCTCGAGTGAAGAGGGCTCAGCATCTGGACCTCATGGTTCAGGTCCCGCTCGTGCCAAGGCAGAGCGGCGGCTTGCATCATGGGGCTCCCAGATGGAGCTCGTCGATCACCTTGAGAGGGCTGTAAACCTCTCAGATGACCCGAAGACTGACGAGAGCGAGCTGCAGGTTGAGTATGAAGATTTTTCACCGACTCTTCCCGCAGCTGATGCTCTTCATGATGCGCAGGAGATGGCTGAGGAGGTGTATGATCCTGAACCCCCTCAGCCACCCTGCCCAGTGTATGCAGAGCTGGTGGATGTAATGGAGCGCGCCGCTGGCAGGCTGCAGCGGCTAGAGGAGAGATATAGACCACTCGGCCATAGACCACCAGCTCAGGTGAGCCTTCCATTTCTTCCCGACCTTAATACTGAGATCGAGAGGGCATGGAAGAACCCATACTCTGCCCGTATCCACTGACATCAGCGAGCTAGTTTCGCTGATGTTGAGGGGATCGAGGAGCATGGGTACGTGTCGATGCCGCCCATTGACGAGACGTTTGCGAACTATCTCGTGTCTGGGCGGGCGTCGACACTGAGAGCTCCAACCCTGCCTGCTGAAAACAACGGCGCGTCTGAATGGCAGAGCATACACGGCAGCGGGTCAGGCCGGTGCTGCCCTGCACACCACCTGCAAGCATACCAGGCCGACCTGCTGGGGGATCTCGACCAGGGGGCAGGAATGTCCCCTGAGGTGGTGGCTGAGCTGCGCCGCACCACAGATCTTGCTCTCCGGGCCACCAAGCAAACCGCAAAGTTCCCTGTTAGGTGACCAGAATGATAACTATGTTAGCCTTCGGGCTGTTAGCCACCTCAGGGTAGAGTAGTTGGTCTCTCTCTCATAGAATTTTTTACTTGGAGTGTTGACTGACGCTAGAGCTTCAGATAGATCTATGTCCGGCCCACTGAGCCGTCTGACTTCTTCCTGAGCATTTCGCCCCTTGAGCTTTTTTGGGTTTTCAGTAGGCTGAGCGATTCTGCAGCCCCTTGCATGGACTATATTTTTTAGTAAGGCTGTGGCTCCTCCGAGCCCTCAGGTAGATCTATGCTTGCAAGTTGGCCCTCACCAGGGCCGCCTCTGTAGCTGGCCTAGGCTGTGCCAGGGATAATGGAGACGCTCTGGTAAAAATAGCATTTCTGCATCTGACCCTTCACTTTGTGAATGTAGGTTCCTAGCATCCCTGTATAACAGCCTCCTCCCATGGGAGTCGTTAGGCCAAGGCCCGCCCCTTCTCTGCATTCTGGAGCAACAAGAGCAATGCAGCGTGGTGCAGAGGATGGTTTATGAGAACATGGTTAGGCCTCAAATAGGCCGCCATGGTACATGTCTTTATTGAGCAGGGTTAGGCCGTCTCTCGCTTCACGAAGAGGTCTGGTTCTGTCTGCCCGGCCCTGCCGTGCAGAACTGGCTTACTTATCTAGGCCGCCAGTATAGGCTTCACTCGCCTCGCTGAACTACTGCTCGAGCGCTGGGTTGTAGGTGGGTGGCTCTCAAGTCTAGCCCCACTCCCCTAGGTTGGGCACAGATACATTTCTGTCACCCCTAGAGCCGCTGGCAGGCCCGCATCCTGGTAACCCTAGGGTGAGGTGTGAGTATGTAGGTCTGAGCACTTCACTTCCAGTTCTGTATTATCCTACCTTGCACCACTATGGCTCGGGTCGAGTGGAAAGTTTAGCCTTCACTTCTTTTTGGTCGAAGTACGCTCCCCTGAAGCCAGAGCTTTGCCCTGAGCTGACGCCCATGCGTATAGATGGTAGGCCCCTGACACAGAGGCCTCCGTTGAGGTAGAGTGGTGTATGTTGTATTCCCCTTGTTTTAAGGGTGCTAGCTCTCTTGCTGAGTACACTGCCGTGGGCAATATGATTAGGCACCAGGATGCTGTAGGCGCTGTGTAAACAGCTTATCTACCAACGAAGGCTGTGCCGTCAGGTAGTAGGCCTCAGCAGGCCTCCTTGAATGGGCAGCCCCAAAGAGGGCGCTGTAGGCCAGCTTACTTCTCGTGGTTGGCCTTGGTGGTTCGGGCAGTTGGCTCACCGATGGGTAGTAAGGCCTTAAACAGGCCTCCTCGGAGGTGAGTCCCAACATTGTGGGACATACTTTATTGCCGCTACCAGGTAGCTAGCCGTATTAGGCCTCCTGTGGCTGGGCCCAATAGTTATGTTGGTGTAGTATGTTCCCAACAGTGTTCCTTTCTAGCAGAATTGACTTGCTATCAGCTAGTAGGCCAAACCAGGCCTCCCTGATAGGTGAGTCCCCAGCTGGCTGGCCTTAGGAGGCCGCCTTGGAACTGTCAGGTAGTAGGCCCCACCAGGCCTCCCTGAAGGTGAGTTCCCACAGACTGTGGTTTTCAGGTAGTAGGCCTCACCAGGCCTCCCTGAAGGTGAGTTCCCCACGTATTATCGTTATCAGGTAATAGGCCTCACTAGGCCTCCCTGTAGGTGACCACATACTGTGGTTCAGGAAGCTAGTGGCCTCTTGCTATCAGTTCAGCTGGTCTTAGCAGGCAGCTGCTGAAGGCGAGCTTGCGCCCTGGCTCAACTAAAGTGTTCATTCTCTGCTACTGGTTCCCTCCCGGAACCTTTTTCCTGCCTACAGCCTAGTTTTGCCTACCAGGCGGACCATGTGCTCCCCTCATCGAGGGTCACTATGAGCACGCGGACTCCTGAGTCTGGTCAGACGGTCGTAGGCCTATCGTGAGGCCTCCCAGTTAGATCAGTCCTTAGGCCTTCACAGGCCTCCTCAGTGTTTTGAAACATAAACACTGGGTAGATCCGTGGATCGAGTAGAGAAACTCCCCTCGCTGGCAAGGGTTGGGAAGCGCTATACTGAGTCATACTTTCCAGGATTTCCCGTCTCTGAGATCCGGCCGAGTGGTTCACTGCCAGCTTTCCAGTCCCTCGGGTTGGATGCCTTACCTAAGGCAAGTATCCAGGGGCTCTGTCTTCGGACAGACAGGAAGTGGCCAGACTAAGTGTCTATGTAACTGATGCCGGGTCAGGCCGTCCTGGTGGCATTTCGGGGTGAGTACGTTCCCCTGAATAGTGTCTGGCTGGGGTTCCTTCGGGTTCCCTAGCCAAATTCCCTAGAAGGGACCCCTTCTAATTGGAAGCTGTGGTTCCAGGCCCTGAGCAGGTCCAGGTAGGCCTTTCATTGAACCATGTGTATGGAGGTTTTCCTGCGAGGCTTAGCTTGGGCTATGACCGTAGGGAATGCTGTCACTGACAGCCCAGTGTGACCTGAGGGTGAGTGGTTCTAGCGTTTCATTTGAATTTGCTGGTTCTGACAGTTGTCACTGCCACCTGGCATGCACTCCGCTTAGCATGGTGGCGTTGGTATATCGTTCCCCAAGAGTCATCGACGCAGTGCGAGTTCCCTTTCGAAAGGGAACGTCTCAGGTTACGACTGTAACCACTGCGTCTCCTTGCCATGCCTCGAGGCTTACCTACCGAACAGTCCCTTCAGACGATAAGGTGATTTGTCATGTTTGCAAGGCGCCCTTTTATACTACCAGGTCGTACGTTAATCATTCACGCTAATGATTCACGGGCTGTCGCCGGGCAATGTGATTGCCGTGATTTGATTGTGATTTCAGACAACTGTCACGCCTGAGGCGTTCCCCCAAAGCGTCATCGACGCAGTGCGAGTTCCCTGTTCTCAGGGAACAGAGGTTACAGTCGTAACCTAGACGTTTTTGGTTCAAATCCAGATCATTACACTGCTGTTTATTAATAACAATTTCATAAAAAAAATCAAATACTATAAGCATATATTTTTATAGAAATAATATACCTGAGATCAGGCCGTGTGTGTCCACTCTCAAACTTTATTGGGCGATCCATAGACCAGTTACTCTTCATAGACACACAGCTGGACACTGGGTTTGAGCTCTTCTGCTGGACTGAACTGTAACAGAGAACAGATTCAGTTTAATCCTTTAGATTAGTTCATTCTTTATTATAGGAACCATAATAATATAATCATATTCATCTTTAATCAAAAAAGCACTATGAGGAAACTTTAATCTTTTTATTTAAAATTTCGACCTGAGATCAGGCCGTGTGTTTCCACTCTCAAACTTTATTGGGCGATCCATAGACCAGTTACTCTTCACAGACACACAGCTGGACACTGGGTTTGAGCTCTTCTGCTGGACTGAACTGGAACAGAGAACATTCAGTTTAATCCTTTAGATTACTGTGTTCATTCTTTTATATAGGAACCATAATAATATAATCACATTCATCTTTAATAAAAAACACTTTGAGGAAACTTTAATCTTTTTATTTAAAATTTCGACCTGAGATCAGGCCGTGTGTTTCCACTCTCAAACTTTATTGGGCGATCCATAGACCAGTTACTCTTCATAGACACACAGCTGGACACTGGGTTTGAGCTCTTCTGCTGGACTGAACTGGAACAGAGAACAGATTCAGTTTAATCCTTCATATTACTATGTTCATTCTTTTATATAGGAACCATAATAATATAATCACATTCATCTTTAATAAAAAACACTTTGAGGAAACTTTATGATCTTTTTATTTAATATTTCAACCTGAGACCAGGCCGTGTGTTTCCACTCTCAAACTTTATTGGGCGATCCATAGACCAGTTACTCTTCATAGACACACAGCTGGACACTGGGTTTGAGCTCTTCTGCTGGACTGAACTGTAACAGAGAACAGATTCAGTTTAATCCTTTAGATTACTGTGTTCATTCTTTATTATAGGAATTAGGGCTGGGCAATATATCGCATCACATTGTTATGCGCATCTCGTCAGTAAAGCCGGTTCCTTGATTAGTAGTAAATTGATGCGCATAACAATGTGATGCGATATATTGTCCAGCCCTAAAATCATAAAAATATAAACACATTCATCTTTAATAAAAAAAAAGTACTTTGAGGATACTTTATGATCTTTTTATTTAATATTTTGACCTGAGACTAGGCTCTGTGTTTCCACTATCAAACTTTATTGGGCGATCCATAGACCAGTTACTCTTCACAGACACACAGCTGGACACTGGGTTTGAGCTCTTCTGCTGGACTGAACTGGAACAGAGAACATTCAGTTTAATCCTTTAGATTACTGTGTTCATTCTTTTATATAGGAACCATAATAATATAATCACATTCATCTTTAATAAAAAACACTTTGAGGAAACTTTAATCTTTTTATTTAAAATTTCGACCTGAGATCAGGCCGTGTGTTTCCACTCTCAAACTTTATTGGGCGATCCATAGACCAGTTACTCTTCATAGACACACAGCTGGACACTGGGTTTGAGCTCTTCTGCTGGACTGAACTGTAACAGAGAACATTCAGTTTAATCCTTTAGATTACTGTGTTCATTCTTTTATATAGGAACCATAATAATATAATCACATTCATCTTTAATAAAAAACACTTTGAGGAAACTTTAATCTTTTTATTTAAAATTTCGACCTGAGATCAGGCCGTGTGTTTCCACTCTCAAACTTTATTGGGCGATCCATAGACCAGTTACTCTTCATAGACACACAGCTGGACACTGGGTTTGAGCTCTTCTGCTGGACTGAACTGGAACAGAGAACATTCAGTTTAATCCTTTAGATTACTGTGTTCATTCTTTTATATAGGAACCATAATAATATAATCACATTCATCTTTAATAAAAAACACTTTGAGGAAACTTTAATCTTTTTATTTAAAATTTCGACCTGAGATCAGGCCGTGTGTTTCCACTCTCAAACTTTATTGGGCGATCCATAGACCAGTTACTCTTCATAGACACACAGCTGGACTCTGGGTTTGAGCTCTTCTGCTGGACTGAACTGGAACAGAGAACATTCAGTTTAATCCTTTAGATTAGTTCATTCTTTATTATAGGAACCATAATAATATAACACATTCATCAAAAACAACTTTGAAGAAACTTTATGATTTTTTTTATTGTATATTTCATGTTAGTATTGAAACAAACAAAAATATAGACAAAAATAAGCTACAATTATTTTCTGTAAACTGTTTCTGTGATCTGTGGGGGGGAAATTGTAATCTTTTTCTGTGATGTAATACAATATTTAACAGTGTTTGTTGAAAGTACCTGCATCCTGGAGAAAAATCTCTGTCTCTGGATCCTTGTGAGTCAGCCATGATGAAGCTGCAGGAGAATCTGATTAGTATGATCTCCTCCACTGACTCTAAATGAATAAATATAAAACATGCAGACACAAAATTAAATTATTAATTGATTAACCTTCATTATTTAGCTGAACATATCTTGACTGTGGGAGAAAAATAATCATGGGACTGTGTTAACTCAAGCTCAGTTATACATGTTTACACATATGCTGTTGAACTCTTGAAGAATCACAGACATCACCAAACACTTTAGAAACCTTCAAGTGAAAGAAACCCTTTATTAACAATTTTATATTAAACAAACAATCACTTAAAATGTGCTCAGGAGATTCATATTAATATGAGGAAGTCACAAACATGAAAACTCACCGTGATCAAACTTCTACAAGATACAGGATCTCAAATCCTCCAGCTTTAACATCATAAAGATACACAGACATTCCTGCATTCTTGCATAGTCTTTGATAAATATTTTGATGCTCTGTTTTTTCCATATCATATTTGTATTTTTCCTGCTTAAAATGGCACCAGGAGAACTCTCACCTACTTTCACTTTCTATTTGTGATGAGAGAAAGAGAGAGAGAGAGAGAGAGAGAGAGAGAGAGGGGGGGGGGGGGGGGGGGGGGGGGAATCAACCTCTCTCTCGTTTTCTGAATTATAGTGAGAAATAAAACATTATAAGACATTAATAATAAAGATATTTAATAAAGAAACATTTTGTCGCTGTAGTATGTAAGTCCCCCTCTGCTGACAGAAAACAAACAAAGAAAGAACAATAATTATGTTGTTTTTTTGGTGACCAAATTTCATTAAAGGGTTCGTTTAATTTTTTTTTTTTAATTCTGTCATTAATTACTCACCCTCATGTCGCTACAAACCCACAAGACTTTTTTTCATCTTCGGAATGCAAAAATCTTTTTAAAGAAATCTGTGAGCTTTATGTCTCTCCATTGACACACAACTACCACTTTTAGGTCCCAGAATGGTAGTAAACACATCATTAAAGTAATCCATGTGACACTAGTGGTTTAACCTCCATTTTATGAAGTGATACAAATGCTTTATTTGCACACAAAAAAATATTAATCTTCAACGCGTTTGCGAGAGCACCAACACGCATGCGTGTTGTGTTGAAACAAGAAATGTTTCGTGAACGTGTTGGAGATTAATATTTTGTACTCGCAAAAAAGCTTTGTTTGCATTTAGTCTTTTATTCATTATTTTGTTCTTGTACTATATTTCATATAGTTTTGTGCTTTTGTTTATTCACATATATATATATATACACACACACACACACACAAACATACATACATATATATATATACATATATATATATGTATGTATGTATATTATATTTATATATATCACTGATTCTTGAAATAAGGGACAAAACATGTCCCCCATCAAAATGTTGCAATTTGCCTTAAAAAATTAATTGTTTCATTTAAAAAGGCTTTCAAAGTTGGATATGAAAGACTTGTGTATGTTTAGACCCTTAATTTTGTATATAAAATTTGTATATAAAATACAAGGTCGTTTGTGACGTCAGAAACACCAGCCATTTCAAACCGTGTTTTTGAGACTGTCTTTGGTTCACTGCAGTTTTAAGGAGAACATTTTTAGCAATGGTGTCGACTTATGAATTTACACATGGTTTGTCTTGAAGCATATTAAAACACCGCATAGGATAGACATATAAACAACTTTAAAAGCTTGATTTTCACCACAGGGGGACTTTAATATACTGTGCAGTTCTCGGTGCGGTCAACAGGAGACAGTAGAGGGCGCGGTGCCATAACACATCAGCCGTAGAAGAAGAAACAGCAGCAGCGGTAGTGACTCGCATTCAGAGAAACATCAGCAACAAAATCATGGAGGAAACCGCTAAAAAGGAGAAAAAGCAGGACGAAATCAAGGAGGAGAAAGACAAAAAGCCGGCGGGGAAAGAAAAGGAGAAGAAAGAGGAGCAGGAGCTGGTGAGAGAGAGAAAAACACCGCGTTTGAATTCCGCCTGAGTCACTCTGCAGGCCACACACTCACACACACTCACACACCACAGCAATGTGTGTAAATATTCATGAGTTAACAATAAATATCAATCACTTTAGGCACAAAACATTTTAAAACAACGCGTATGTGATTATAAGACTCTTATGTATGCGTTATATGTATCATATCGTTATATAAACACATGGATGAATGGATAAAGTTAACAGAAATACTTCCCTGAGGAGAAATTCACTCGTCTGATTTTAAAAATAACTATATTTCATTGTTTACAGAGTTCTGGTGTTGTTAATAATAATGTCTCTGATGTGTTTGTGTTGTTTTTGCAGTCAGAGGAGGACAAACTGCTCCAGGAGGAGTTGGAGATGCTCGTGGAAAGACTCGGTGTAAGTTGAGATGGTTTTTGTTGGATTTATTAATTATTCCTGGTTGAACTGTCAATTTTACACATTTGAAGAAGCAACATTAACATACTTAAAAAATATCATGAATTACATGCGATTTATTGTAATGTAAGAAAACTGGGTTTCAATATACAGTAAGGCTTCAGTTGTTAACATTTGTTAAAATGAACCAATACTTCTACAGCATATCTAATCTTAATGTTAATTTCAACATTTACTAATACATTATTAATATCAAAAGATGTATTTATTAACATTAGTTAATGCAGTGTGAACTAGCATGAACAAACAATGAACAATTGTTTTACTAGTGATGTCAATCGATAATTTTTTTTATTAATTGCACCTGACATTAAAGTTTTTAATATAGGGTTATATTGCAATACTTTCACATGGAGTCTCCAAAACAATGTAGAAACAACATAAAGACGGTATATTTTAAATATGTGTTTAATGGCATCTCTTTACTAACTAAGCACTATAAATAAAGGCCAGTATCACTGGTACCAATACTGGCGTCTCTATTACATGGATTATTTCCCTCAATTTTAGCCATTCAACATTACAGTATAATTGAAAGCTGTAATTTTTAACATTTAATAGGCTTTAAAAAATATATAACTTTTAATTGAAGTTAACCCTTAACCAATCTTCACATATAACCCCATTGTGATAAACGTCACATTTAGCTGTGCTTTTAATATATCAGTTTCTTTTTTCTATTGGCCCAGCTGGGACCCTTCAGATTTGTTCCTGCCCTGCTAAAAAAAAAAGCACAAAAATTTTACTGTTTTCTGGGGGGTTTTCACACACATGTAACCTTATAAACAGTGTTTTATGATTTTCACGTAATTCTAACAAGCCAAGTCACCTTTATTTATATAGCGCTTTTAACAATACAGATTATTTCAAAGCAGCTTTACAGAGATAACAGGAAAATAATGTTGTAATAATATTGTTAAATATAAAATTAAAAGTCCCCAACTAAGCAAGCCAATGGTGACAAAGGCAAAAAAGGCAAAATAAACAGGCATTGAATAGTTATCAAACATTTTGCTGTCTTCACTACATAAATTATTAATTGTACATAGATCTATCCTTATTAAAGCTACAAATGTTATTCAGCCAAAGGATGACGAAAAAAAACCTGAATGTTGCGTTGATTGCGAAATATTTTTAACACGTTAAAACTGGAAAAAAGTAATCGCATGCAATAATTTTTCTTTTACCGTATTTATTAATTCACACATTTATTTTTACGTGTTAATTTTAACAGCCCTAATTTTTTACTAACATCAAAAAAGATGCTTTAAAAATATATTGTGAATGTTAACAACAAGTGAGACCTTATTGTAAAGTGTTACTAGAATTAGTTTTCGCAATAATGGATCAAAGTGTAATGAATTTCTTAAAGGGATACTCCACTTTTTTTGGAAATAGGCTCATTTTACAACTCCCCCAGAGTTAAACTGTTGAGTTTTTACCGTTTTTGAATCCATTCAGCCGATCTCCGGTTCTGGCGGTACCACTTTTAGCATAGCTTAGCATACATCATTGGAGTTGACAAGACCATTAGCATTTCTCAAAAAAAAATGACCAAATGATATGACGCAGCGCCTGAAAATAGGCCACCTTCCTTCAACACAACGGAACTATTTTCAGGCGCTGCGTCATATCATTACGCCTGCTGCACTCATGGTACGGCAGTGAAGTTTCTTGATTACTACGCAGGAATGAGAGTATAGTTCCTAGCCATATCAGCCTAGAAAATCGCAACTTTACATTTTCCGTCGGTCTTAGTGCACGATGTAACTACAGAAGAGTCAAGTTTTAAATAGGAAAAATATCAAAACTCTTTGGTCATTTTTCTTTAGAAATGCTAATGGTCTTGTCCACTTCAGTGATGTATGCTAAGCTATGCTAAAAGTGGTACCGCCAGAACCGGAGATCGGCTGAATGGATTCAAAAACGGTAAAACTCAACAGTTTAACTCTGGGGGAGTTGTAAAATGAGCCTATTTCCAAAAAAAGTGGAGTATCCCTTTAAATTACTTGTTGATGCCAAAACAAATGTTCACCAATAATGTCACTCCCCATTTTTTCCACAATACAATCAAATCCTTATGGATAAAATCACATCCCGGCCAAATTATTATTCTGTTTCACTCAAAGTTAAATGTGTTGATTTTTTGGGTTTTCTCCCTGTTGCGCAGGAGACGGACACGTCCCTGTATCGTCCTGCTCTGGAAGAACTGCGCCGTCAGATTCGCTCCTCCACGACGTCCATGACATCAGTGCCCAAACCGCTCAAGTTCCTGCGACCCCATTACGCCAAACTCAAAGAGATCTACCAGAACATGGCGCCTGGAGAGAACAAGGTGCGTTTTGCGGCATCGATTAAATGGCTCTGGTGATTTTTATTAGAACAATCAGCCAATGTTTCTTCTCTGTTTGACAGCATTTCTGTGCTGACGTGGTGTCGGTTCTCGCCATGACCATGAGCACCGAGCGAGAGTGTCTGAAGTATCGTCTGCTGGGCTCACAGGAGGAGCTCGCGTCATGGGGACACGAATACGTCAGGTACGAGAACCAGCACCAGTACAGCCAGACGACACCCTGAAAGACCAGTGTTGTTATTGTTTGCTAAAACTATAAACAAATATTTTTTGGTAATTGAAATAAAGCTTAAAGGTGCAGTACACGATTCCTGCGAATCGCTGTTGAAAGTGGATCAGACCGGGCACCAAAACACTTGTAGCCAATAGGGCTGTACCCGGATATTCGAATATTCGTTCGGTGGGTTGGTATTCGATTTGAAAATGTGACATTCGAATATTCTTCTTTTTTTTTTTTTGCACACCTGGCATCCCGCTTGAAACTGTTCTCATGAATATGTTTTACATTATAAAATCTGGTGAAATATAATACTTAACATATAACTTCGTTATATCTACTTAATAAATCTATTTGCTTCTTCTTGGACTACTTAAAGTGTTCCTGCAACGGGAGTATTCTCTGACTAGAGCGCAGAACAGCGGAGTGTGTGTGGACAGAAGTGCCTGAGCTTGTGTTTTGGGTTAAGCTGCGTTGCTTTGACATTGTGGAACATAGAATAATAGAAA